TTGATTTCTTCTTTAGTGGCCAGTCTTTGCCCCTTTGGAATACGGATCTGCCCATCAGTCAGTAGGATATCAAAGATTTCATCAGCTTTCGAACTATCAAACGTCGGTTGCTCCTTTCCTTCAGATCCTGGTACTGGCTTCAATTTGGGGCATACATAAGGTTTTCCAGAAAGGATTTCGGCTGCCATCTCTTCTGACTGATTAAAATCAAAGTCACATGTTTCTGTTCCCATACTCGCCATATGTTGGCCTCTATTACGCCTGTTATGCTGATCTTCCTCTCTGAACAAAGACTCTAAACGTCCTGCCTTGGATGCAAGACTTGCCAAATCCTCAACATCCAGGGCAGTGAGTGCCTTTCTTAAGCGAGTATGCATATTCCGGACCACTAAATTGGTCATCTCTTTCTCACTGATTACCGTAGGACATCGTCCCTTCATCAATCGCACCCTTTCTATAAACTGTGAAGCAGATTCTTCTGGATACTGTCTCAATTCTAGTAAATCAGTTAAAGAAACAGTTGGTAAAGGATTGAAGAATCTGGCATGAAATGCCATCTCCAGTCCTTCCCACGTCTGAATTTGCCCAGGAGGTAAACTTGCGAACCACGAAAACGCTGTTCTAGTAAGAGATAGACCAAACAGTTGCAACTTATAAAAAGGGTTATTACCAACTTCTCCCAATTGTGCTGTGAACCGACCAACATGTTCTATGGTGGAAGATCCGTCCTCCCCTGAGAATGCATGAAAATCGGGTGGTCGATAATTCCTTGGGAGGGGGTGTTCATTAACGATCCTTTCTGGGAAAGGTCTCTGATATGCAGGACGGTTAGCCATCTGAGGAGTTAGCCCAAACTGATCCCTTAATATATGTGCAATCTCATCAGGATCTACATGAAAACGTTGCTGATCAGGAACATGGAACGGATCCTGCACAGGAATATGAATAGGATCATGTATATATCCTCCAGGCCTGTCCTCCCCTGCATTGTTCGGCTGCGGATTGGAAACCCTTGGTCCCAGCGGAACAGTGTTGGGAAAAGTCAGAGGAGATTTTCCCCTATCCGTTCGGTTGGGATTTGTGGCACTTGGAAATGCACTATCCACGAATGATGGCCCTGCGAAATTTGCCTGTAGTCTGGACGGTGATACTCCTGGTGGAGTTTGAGTGGGTTGAAGACTAACCCTTGACAGTGCTTGATCTAACATGTTCTGCATCAAATTATGTTGCTCACGCAACATGTTCTGCATAACCAAAGTTTGTTGGTTGTTCATATGTTGAACATAAGACCTCCAATCAGTTGGTGGTTGTGGATTTTCCCCGGCATTTGGCACAATAGGTGGTGGAACGGATTCTCCCGCCGGTGCCGAAGATGATTGTGGTTGTGAACCTGCCATATGGACCCTTCCGATGATTCGGCCGGATCTTAGACGTATGAAATTATCGCCGGAATTGGAATGAGCAATTTTGTCTTGCTCCCACTGTGGTCGCCAATTTGTTGATGTAATTTTTCAACAAAAATAAAGTAAAATTCAAAGATATAGAGAATATCCTTAAACTTGATTAATTAGTGCCTGAGATTAGGAATCTCTAAACACTGTATGGTACAGAAAATAAACTGGAAAATAAAAGACTGAAATTTAAAGTGGTGATCCCCAAATCTGACTTTGCTTTGTTAAAGTTGATTGAAGATGCCTTGCCAAATGATGATCCAAATCCTTAAATATTCTTTGAAGAAAACGTTCAGAACCGTCGCACTGTTTCACCAACCGTTCCCACCAGTTACAGAACTCAGAACTGCCTCTTTCATTGACACATGTCTTTAACCGCCTCGCCAACCGCATAACCCAACGACCGACCAACCGACCAATCTAGATACATAATTGGTCGCCAGATCAAAAGACTCACTGGTCGCCCCATCAAACGACCACTATTTGGTCTCTTCAATCGTCTGACCTATCAACAGACCTTTCTTCGCCCGACTTCCTTTTTCGACCGACCCCCATAGCAGCCAACCTTTGTATCAACCGACCCATTTATCCGACTGCGGATAATCCGACCTGCTTGCCCGACCGCGGACCATCCGACTTGCTTATCTGATTGAGAACCAACCGACTGAGAACCCACCGACTGACTCTGGATACCTTATTATTATTATTATTATTTTTGTGCGTAACAATTATTATTATTTTTTGTGCGTAACAACATGCCTCCTCCTCAAGACTCCTAAGCATCATTTCTTATGATGTTTTAGGAGTTAGTAGGTTAGCATCCGAGGCTACGTCAGCCTCAGATCCGACCTCCATCCTTTGAGGCTTCGTTGGACCCGACCTCCATTTATTGCGGACTGGTGCTGGTCTGGACGTTGGTCGATCTTGCACTACCATTGTATTCAGACTCCCGTCCGACTTATTCCTCCTTTCGGCCACTGTTGTTCTGTCATTCTTTTGCTCGCCTGAAAAGTTATGGTCGGCGACCTGACCCGTGTCCGTCCATTCGGCGGGGTCCTCCTGACCTGTATCCGTCCATTCGGCGGGGTCCTCCTGACCTGTATCCGTCCAGGTTACGTAGTCCTCCCGATTTTTGTCCGTCCAGTCGACGTGGTCTTCCCGATCTGTATTCGTCCAGTCGGCGTGGTCCTCCCGACCTTTGTCCATCCAGTCGGTGTGGTTGTCCCGACTACGGTCCGTCCATTCGGTGTGGTCCTCCTGACCATGGTCCGTCCAGTCGGTGTGGTCTTCTCGACCATGGTCCGTCCAGGCGTCGTGATCCTGCCGACCTGTCTCCGTCCATTCGGTCGTCCCTGGTCGGGCCTGTCCTCCTGTTTGGTCCTGTCTCCAGTCTGTCTGACTGGGTATATGCTCAGGAATGGCGTTGTCCGTTTGGGGGCATGACATTTCTGGCGGTGCAGGAACCGAATTCAACATGAATTTTGATTGCTCCATCAAGTTTTGCATTGCGTCATGTATTGCCTGCAGATTTGCTATCTGCTGGTCGTACATTTGCCGAAAACCTGCTGTCAATTCGGCCCGTAGTTGGGAAGCTTCTTCTGCCGTGATAAAGCCAACGGCTGTACTGTGGAATTGAAAATTTGCCATATGGATCAGCAATTTTCTCCCACTGTGGTCGCCAATTTGTTGATGTAATTTTTCAACAAAAATAAAGTAAAATTCAAAGATATAGAGAATATCCTTAAACTTGATTAATTAGTGCCTGAGATTAGGAATCTCTAAACACTGTATGGTACAGAAAATAAACTGGAAAATAAAAGACTGAAATTTAAAGTGGTGATCCCCAAATCTGACTTTGCTTTGTTGAAGTTGATTGAAGATGCCTTGCCAAATGATGGTCCAAATCCTTAAATATTCTCTGGGAAACCGTACTGAAAACCGTCACCCGAACGGTTACAACGTCTCCTTCCCAACCGTCTTCCAACCCTTCTCCTGCTGACACGTGTCCTCAGCACACCAAAATTATCCCTATATTTCACTCTTTAAGCCGACCACAGACCTTCCGCCCTTTAGGCCCGACTGCCAATCTACAATCGTATTGGTCCGACTGCCAATCCTCCCGACTTGCAAACCATCTGACTTGTTTGGATTAGCTACAGACATCCCGACTAACAAACCATCCGATTTTTTGGTCCTGCAGCAGAGTTCCGACCTGAGAACTTCCCAACCTGAGGGCCTCCCGACCTGCGGACTTCCTGTCCTGAAGGCCTCCCGACCTGCGGACTTCCCGTCCTAATGACTTTCCGTCTTGAGGACCTCCCGACCTGAAGACCTTCCGACCTGAGGTCTTTCCGTCTTGAGGACCTACCGACCTGAGGTCCTTCCGACCTGAGGTCTTTCCGTCTTGAGGACCTACCGACCTAAGGTCCTTCCGTCCTGAGGACTTTCCGTCTTGAGGACCTACCGACCTGAAGACCTTCCGACCTGAGGTCTTTCCGTCTTGAGGACCTACCGACCTGAAGACCTTCCGACCTGAGGTCTTTCCGTCCTGAGGACTTAGAAATAAACCTATTTTCCTTGAGCCAGTTCAACCAACTCTAATGTCAGGCCCATTTTTCTTTTACCTTGGGCTTTTTAACCTAATTCTAAATTTCATACGTAACAATATTAATTTATTTAAATATGATAAATATTAAAAATTAATCTGGTGAAATATATTAATTTATTTAAATGATTATCATATTTAAGGGGTGTTTGACAAACAACTTTTAGCTTATTTAAACGCTTTTAGATCCCAAAACACATACGCATCACAAAATACATAGGACCAAAATTGATTGAAACTATTTAAAAATAAATTAAAATTTGATAAGTTTTATTTTATTGAAACTAAATTGATAAATTTTAGGGAAAAAAATTATTTTTGGTCCCAATATAATCAAAATTCATCAATTTTGTTCACAATATAAAAAATTTATCAATCTTGGTCCTAATATAACCAAAACTCATTATTTTTGTCCAAATATAACCAAAACTCATTATTTTTCGTTCAAATATAAAAATTTTATCAATTTTAGTCCCAATATAACTAAAATTCATCATTTTTTGTCCCATATATAATCAAATCTCATCTTTTTTTATCCCACCGCTAACAAACCGACGGAAAATGCTGATGTGAAAAGAAATCGAACCTTATATTTATATTTGAAAAAATTGCACAATCTTGCAAGTCCACTTCAGTATTTTTCGTCGGTTTGTTGACGGTGGGACCAAAAAAGATAAGGTTTGATTATATTGAGATAAAAAATGATGAGTTTTGTTTATATTTGGACTAAAATTGATAAAAAAAATTTATATTGGGACAAAAAATTGATAAGTTTTGGTTATATTGAAAAAAAATGATAAATTTTGGTTATATTATTGATGCATTTTTTATATTGAACCCAAAATTAATAAATTTTAATTATATTAGGATGAAAAATTGTTTTTTTCCCCTTAATTTTAAAATAAAAAGCACACATACGCATCACAAAACACAAAACCCTAAATCAACCGCACACGGCCGTCCCTCCCACTTTCTTTTCTTCCCATTTTCTTCTTCTTCTTCTCCTCATTCCTCTCTCTTTCTCTCCTTTTCTTTCTTCTCCGTCTTTGTTTGCGGGTGTATATTGTCTTCTCGGGCTCTCTTTCTTTTCCCCTTCTCCAGTTTCGAATTCGTCTTCATCAGGTCCCATCCGGCTTCGTCTCCGTCTCTCCTGCCATCCTCTTCACCGTTGATTTCTTTCTTCCACCCACGCTATCCTCTTTTCCGATTGCAATTGTAAGCTTCAATTTATCCTCTCTTTCTTCTTCTTCTTCGGCGGAAGTATCATTCTCTTTTTTTTTTTTGCGGTGTCTCTCCCTTCGGCCGTGGCTTCATATCCGTTTGTTATTTTGCTGATTCTGTAATAAATGTGTAAATTATGTTTATAATAGATAATTCGTATTTATAATGGAAGAATGCTTGTCATTTCGTTGATTCTGTAATAAGTGTGAATTTTTTTTCATATTGTTTTGTTTTCGCCCGTGCATCGGATCAGTTGTTTGGATGTGCGGTTCGGCAGTGTGGATGTTCGGCGGCAGCAATCTGCATCTTTAGCATTTTAGGAGATTTAGTAGACATGATGGGGGTTATTAATTTTAATGGTGGAATCTGTGAGACCACCTTCAATACAAAATAAAAGAAAACATCGCGTCGGCAAATATATAATATATACGATATATGTTCCTTGTTCGGTCCTGCGAAGGAATTTTTTCCCTGCGATTGGGGTTTTCGAGGATGCAATCTTTTTGCCTTGGAAGGGGATTCGTTAGTTGTTCGCCTTCTTCGCCTGCTGTTGAGCTCCCTGCGCCGAGGTTAATCGCTATTGTTCCTGTTCCCTGCTTATTGATTTGATTATTCGTTGTACACTCATTGTTTATGTAAATTTGCGTTATTTAAATCCATGTTTATGATTTCAGGGAGGCTCATCTATGGTATGTTAAACCGAGCGAAGTAAGTGACGAGTCGTTGTTAAGACAGTACCTAGATATTCTGTCACCTGGTGAGAAGGAAGACATATCACGAATGCGGGAAGAAAAGCTGCAGAAAAATGCTCTGCTCGCACGCACTTTGGTTCGCACTACCATAGCCAGATGTACGTCATTACTATGTACCCGAATTCAAAGGTGTTTTCCTCACATTCTTTAGTTATGTTGCTTGAGTTTCTGATAGTGTATTTATATAATTATATGTCCGATGCTTTGTTAAGATGATCTAACAATGCTCACAGAATTTCATTTTAGTTTTGGACTTTTGGGTATTAAAACCGTTATATCTTCTTCCTGCCCATTTCAAATTGTATTTGGAACTGATGCGAACACAGTGAATGTGTGGTATACAATAGCTATGTGAGGTAAGCTTCTTGATTAATCCACATCTATTTGCTTAGCATACATGTGGAGAAGATTGAAAAGATAAACATTAGTCGGGCGGGCTTGGTAAAAACATCAAAAATATTTTATATCTTAAATGAGGTAATGGCTTGGAATTATGAATGAAGGTGGTTAGTAAGAGAGAAAATCAGCTTATGCAATAAGTTTTGCTCCTATGCATTGTGTTTTGAAATTTTGATAGTTTAGTAGGATGAAATTGACATTTTCTTTTGACCAAGATAATCTGAATATTCAATGTACGTGCTGGAACTTGGTACTCATGGCAAGTTTGGTTGTTAGATCAGATAAACCCACCGATTAATCCCAAATCATTGAAATTCAGAAGGAATATACATGGAAAGCCTGAGGTTAAGTCCGTCTATTTTGTGTTAGTTTTTGGTGTTCATCCTTTTCTGGTATCATTTTGAACTTTGTCATTCAAACATCTGGGACATGCTGGCAGGTTGAGTGGCCATTCAGTAATGATTTGCGTCCGCCTCCACTGCATTTAAACATCTCACACACATCTTCTTTAATAGCATGTGGAGTTACCGTCAATTCTCAAGTTAGTTATCCTACCGTTCTTCTTGCTGAGTTATACTTTAAGTCGTTTATTAAATGAAACACCTTATAATTTGCTTTCTTGTAGATTGGTGTTGACATGGAAGAGAAGGACCGGAGTCTTAGACACAGTGTGATAGCTCTTGCTCGGCGTTATTTCACCCAAGATGAAGTTAATTTCTTAGAGGATATATCTGATCCGCAAATTCAGCGCATGGAGTTTATTAAATTGTGGACACTCAAGGTCTTGCTCATCAATTGAATTAGTTATACTAAAAACCTTTGCAAGTATGATTTGTGTTTTTTCACTTCAATCTATCACTTTCAGGAGGCATATGTGAAAGCATTGGGAAAAGGGTTTTCTGGTGCACCTTTCAAAACATTTTCAATTCGATTCAAAGGTACGGGAAGCAAAGGCTTTAGCATATCGGAGGATTCGGATTTTAAGGTATCTTGTTGAGCAGGGAATGCCATGCTTCCATTGTTTTAAAAAAGTTAACATCATATTTGGGAAAACATTAAAAAATCACCAAAGAAGTATAGTCTTATCTCATAGTTGGGTTGTTTGTTTAACATCATCTCAAAGATCCTATGGCTGTTTGCTTATTAAATTGTTTAGACAGCATAATGTTCCTTTCTAACAAATATATATATATATATGTGTGTGTGTTTGTTGATTATGTTAGGCTTCTGAAATAGTAGTAGACTCTTTTGATGGCGGTCCTGACGTCACGAGCAACTGGCAATTTGGTCTCCTAGAATTGGATAATTCACATGTCGCTGCCATTTGCACAGAGAAGCATGGTGCTGCTGAAGGTATCACATGCCGATGTTCTTTAACATTAAGCCTACTGGCACTTGATGAACTGATGCAAAACCTATGCTCTCTGTAGGTGAAAAGGATGCGCTGCTAAAGTTGAAGGTTTGGAAGACGATACCATTTCTAGAAGATAAATGCGCCTCGGGGACAGACGCTGTTAAAACAATCTGTGGCTTGCAGTGAACCAAAACTTGCAAAACTATCTCAACAAACATTTTTTGCTCATTTTTCAAGAAAAGCGTAAGCATATCTTTCATCGACAAATTATGCATAGCAAGTTTTTACGGTTTTTCATTCTTTCTGATTCAAATTGATGATACAATTGTTTGTCTAGCTCACGATGTTACGGTAGGCGTACTTACCGATCGAGTTGTCAATAATTAGAATTTGGAGCGAAATCTGTGCTGCTGTACAGCCAAGCTGTGAACTATGAAATTAGTCCAAATGGTTTTTACCCTTCGGATTTGTTCAGTCTGTTTTATAATGAATGTGTTTTTTAGGTTATGTAATACAAATTGTGTTTGTAATATAAGAAGTGCTTCGTTTTTGTGTAGAATTGTTCGACTTTCTGTGAGTGGATAAATTATACTTTTATGTTTTATATATTATATGTTGTGTTAACATGGATATATTATATTTCTAAATATTATTTCGGAATCGTTCTAAAACAAACACACTTGTAAAGTTACTAGTTTCACAAATTGATGACAATCAGACAGTATTTCAAAGACATGGAGTGAATGCTACGATGGCATACCCCGTAGATTTAGAAGTTCTAAAAACTTCTTAAATTAACATATAAGCTGTGTTTGTCTTGGGGGTTTTTATAAGATTTTTATTATTCATAATTTATTTAAAAGAAATTAAATAATTACTGTGGACAAAAATTTCTTGTTATTTTTAATAAACACAAAATTTGTACAAATTATATTTGATTTGAATTTAAAGTGGGTCATATTCTCTAAATGGGTCATTTGATTCTCCTTCCAGGTCGATTTATTTTTCAACTTGGTTTTTATAATGGCTTCTTTGACCCGAAGAGATTTGGTCTTCGGTTTGATTTTGCTGGAGTTTGTTTGGAGGGTTTTGGTCTCCGTTCAGACAATTTGATCGTCAGCTTTGGATTTGATGTCTTTTTTAAACTATTCGAGACTTTGATTTTTTATTTGGCTTTTTCCGCCTTTTGGAGGGCTTTGGTCTTCGTTTTGGCGATATGATCGTTTTTTTCTGGATTTGATGTCTTTTTTAGACGATCCAAGGCCAAAATCTTTGATTTGTCTTTGCCGTCTTTTGGAGGGCTTTGGTCTCATGCGGGTGATTTGATCGTCAGCTTTGGATTTGAGGTTTTCTTTAGACGATCCGCAGCTTTGATATTTGGTTTGTCTTTTCCGCCTTTAGGAGAGCTTCGGTCTTCGTGTGAGCGATTTGATTATCGGCTTTGGATTTGGTGTCTTCTTTGGACGATCCGCAGCTTTGATTTTTGGTTTGGTTTTTCCGCCATTCGGAGGGCTTTGGTCTCTGTGTGGGCGGTTTGATCGGGCTTTGGATTTATTGTCTTCTTTGGACGATCCGCGGTTTTGATTTTTGATTTGGCTTTGCCGCCTTTTGGAGAGCTTTGGTCTCCGTGTGGGCGATTTGATAATTGGCTTTGGATTTGATGTCTTCTTTGGAAGATCCGCAACTTTGATCTTTGAAGAGGTGGATTTGGTGTTCCATAACGCTTTTGACGGTGTGTCCCTTTGACTTTTGGATCGAAGAGGGCCGAGTTGTTGCTTTCGTGAAGAACACGATGAACACCTCGAAACTTTGGGATGAACTTTGGATGCTCTTCCTTAGCTTTGATGGACTCTTCAATGGTTTTTTGAGCTTTGATCCTTGAAGAGGTGGATTTTGTACTCCATCGCACTTTTGGCGGCGTGTCCCTTTGACTTTTGGATCGAAAAGGGCTTAGTTGATGCTTTGTTGAAGAACGCGATGAACATCTTGATGCTTTGAGAGGAACTTTGAAGACCTTCCCTTGGCTTTGACGAATTCCTCAACGGATTTGAGAGCTTTGATCCTTCCTCCGGCTTGGACATACGACGAAGAACATTAACTTTATCGATTTGTCAACTAATATTGGATCATCTGTCCAAATTAGTGACTTTCGACGAAGAACGCTTCGAAGGACACGAAGAACAATACAGAGAGAGTCTAGAGACTTACCTTTTTACTTGAATCCTTGATGTAACTTCAGTGTCTCAAATGAACTAGTCATGGCTCCTATTTATAGGGGATGGGTGGCTTCGGCTTCCTTTTTTAATGGTGCCACGTGGCGCGTTTTGATTGGCCAATAGGAAGATTTTATAATCTTTCCTTTTCCATCAGATGCTATTTTCTATTCTTGACGGATTTAATTGTGCACATTCCTTTCTCGCCAAGATCTTTATATCATTGTCTTTTTTCGGAAGATGTTAATTTATATACTTCCTTTATTGACAAGATTAATTTATTTTGCTGCCAAATTTATTATGGCTCTATTTATGCACGTAATATTTATACGATATCTTCCATTTTAAGCAGATACTTGCATTAATTGTTGATATTTATTGTACAAAAATGAACATATGTGCATAATTAAATACCATATATTTATTTCATTGAAATTTTATTTTCTTCCAAAATACATGATATTTAATTGATTTTAGACATATATTTTTAGTATCTACAAAATGGTCCATCGAGACACTTTTAAACCGAAGCAAAGCGTTTAAGGCGTGAATGAGTCTCGAAGCATAAGTCAATTTATTTTTTGACTGATTTTGTTTTATGTTTATCCTTTTTTTTTTAGCCAATATTTTTTCAAAGGGCTTTTTCTTTTTTTCTTTCTTTCTTTTTGTTTTTTTTTTTTTGAAGAGATTTTTTTTGTCAAATTGATTTTTTTTAAGCCTGATTGTTTTTTGAGTTTTTTTTTTGGACGAGATTTTTTTTGTCAAATTGATTTTTTTTAAGCCCGATTTTTTTTGGAGTTTTTTTTTTGCATAATTGACTGAATTTAGAGTTATATTCCAAGTTGTTTACGTATCCGGTGAAGGAATCAAGTCATAACGTAGTTCAAAACAAATTGAATTTGTTTGTTTTTGTTAAACAGTTTATTCTCTTATTAAAAAGTCTTGTTAGGAATTTTATCCTCATTCCGAAGAGATTGAAGAAAGTTTATCCTCATTTCTAAGAGGCTGTAGAAAGTTTATCCTCGTTTCTAGGAGATTGTAGAAAGTTTATCCTCATTTCTAAGAGGCTGTAGAAAGTTTATCCTCGTTTCTAGGAGATTATAGAAAGTTTATCCTCGTTTCTAGGAGGCTGTAGAAAGTTTATCCTAGTTTCCAAGAGATTGAAGAAAGTTTATCCTTGTTTCCAGGAGATTGAAGAAAGTTAATCCTCGTTTCAAGGAGATTGTATAAAGTTTATTATCTTTTCTAAGAGATTTTAGAAAGTTTATCATTGTTTCCAGGAGATTGAAGAAAGTTTATTCTCGTTTCCAGAAGTGTGAAGAAAGTTTATCCTCGTTTTTAGGAGGGTCAAGAAAGTTTATCCTCGTTTCCAGAAGTTTGAAGAAAGTTTATCATCGTTTCCAAGAGTGTGAAGAAAGTTTATCCTCGTTTCCAGGAGTGGTGAAGGTATGACTGCCCCCACTGTTTGAAGTGTTGTATTTCTCGTCTTCTGAGAAATCTTCAGTAGGCGGTCCATACATTCCACTAGACATCATGCTCAATTCCATTTCATGAGCGCAAATGGCGAGTTCTTCAAAAGTATGGGATCAGATCCCTTGTAGGATGTATTTCAAGCCTCATTGCATCCCTTGAATGCACATTTCTATGCCGGAAGCCTTGGATAGACGGTCTTTGCAGTTGAGGCTTAGACTTCTCCAGCGGTTGATGAAGTCAATTACTGGCTCATCTTTCCATTGGCGGCTGTTGGTGAGTTCGGTCATGCTGACGGTTCTCCTTGTATTGTAAAACCGATTCAAGAACTCGTACTTTAGTTGTTCCCAATTTTCGATGGAACCAACCTCAAAGTCGATGTACCAGTCGAAGGCGTTGCCGTTTAGTGACCGCACAAATTGTTTGACTAGAAGGTCTCCATATGTTCCAGCATCGTTGCATGTCTCGACAAAGTGCGCTATATGTTGCTTTGGGTTGTCTTTGCCGTCAAATTGTTTAAACTTTGGTGGTTGATAGCCAGTTGGCATTTTGAGGGCATCAATCCTTGCAGTGTAAGGCTTGGCATAAGTGTGCATAGGCCTTGAATTCCCTTCGAATTCTCTTTTGATTGCCCCCTTGATGTATTTGTCAAGTTGGGATATATGAATGAAGGAGTTGGATGATCATTGAAATGGATTTGGTTCCGCCACCTTTTCTTTGCCATGATGTTGCTCCACAGATGTTTCCGCTTTATTTCGGGCCACTGGGGAAGATGGTTGCTTTTCGGTTGCATGGCCAGCTTCTTCAGGCTTGTCCAGCTTTTTGAGAAGTTTTTCGATGAGGGCGTCTTGTTGTTGCATGCGCTGAGACATTTTTTCAACAATTTTGACCAATGCGGCAAGCTGGTCCTCCACATTTGATGTGTTGATAGTCATTACTGGAGCGAAAGTTGATGCAATCAAATGACTTGAAGTTGGCTGATGAGTAGGTGGCATGAGAGTGTCTTTGAAGCTTTGATCTTCCTCGCAGAGTAGAATTCGATCCACAATCTTTGGGTCCTCAATATTTGAAGTGTTGGTAGTCATCACCGGAGTAGAGCTTGATGCGGTCGAATGACTTGCAATTTGTTGAGGGGTGAACAGTGCAGCAGTACTCTTGAAGTTGTCGTCTTCTTCACAGAGTGGACTTTTCTTTGTGATTTTTGGAGAAGTGTGTTTAGATAATGCTCTTTTGGTCAAGCTTCGTGTTGTCATTCCAGTATTTGTCGAAGCGCTTGAGGTTTTGGACGCGATGAGTTCGCCAACTTCTTTGACGGCGATGGCGGCTTGAGCAGCAACTTTCGATGCAACATTGGAAGTTTTGATCTTGAAGTAAGCCATTGGTTGTTGAGAGTTCGTCGGAAGGAGAGATGAAAGGTAGAGAGGTCCCACTGGGCGTGCCCAAAATCTGTTGACAAAAGCTTGTGTTATTTTAATAAACTCAAAATTTGTACAAATTATATTTGATTTGAATTTAAAGTGGGTCATATTCTTTAAATGGGTCATTTGATTCTCCTTCCGGGTCGATTTATTTTCCAACTTGGTTTTCTATGGCTTCTTTGATCCGAAGATATTTGGTCTTCGGTTTGATTTTGCTGGACTTTGGAGGGCTTTGGTCTCCGTGCAGACAATTTGATCGTCAGCTTCGGATTTGATGTCTTTTTTAGACGATCCGAGACTTTGATTTTGATTTGGCTTTTCCGTCTTTTGGAGGGCTTTGGTCTCTGTTTTGGCGATTTGATCGTTGTTTCTGGATTTGATGTCTTCTTTAGACGATCCAAGGCTTTGATCTTTGATTTGTCTTTGCCGCCTTTTGGAGGGTTTTGATCTCCGTGCAG